CCCTTTTGGGGCACCCTTCCCCTCCCTCCCACGCTCCCCTACCCTTCTCCAACCTCCTCCTTCCCCTCTCACCCCTCCCCCCATCCTGGCCCCCCCCGTAAAAGTAGGGTGCGGAGGGGGGAGGGGTGAGAACCTGATACCTGACCACACACACTTGGAGAAGCTGTCGTTTAGAAAACCCCAGGAGGCCAAACGTTCACCCCATTTCCTGATGTAAGTTTATCAGTCAATATTAGGCACCTGAGCTGGGACAAAATAATCAGAAGAAAGTGAGAAGGAAGCTTCAGCTGCTTTAACCACTTAACAGTTTACCCAGAGCATCACTGGGGCATCGCATTTGTTTACGTACTATCCCAAGACTATACCAAGATGTACACTCCTGTGTACACTGCTTCTACTCTGCTGTCAATTTTCAATTTAATAATAAGGAACAGGGCCGGGGATTTAGCTCAGTGGTTCTGCCACCTGCCTCGAAAGGGGAAGGACCTGAGTTCGATCCCCGGTACAAAAAAAAAAATAATGAGGAACAGTGGCTTCAATAATCCAGAATGCCGTTTTTTTCTCTTTATGGTTTGGAAGAGTTTTGGGTTTTCCAGATTAGGGTTTTTTTTTGTTTTGTTTTTTGAGATCTGGATTCAATGAGCAGATCTTCCTCTTATCTGAGTTACCCTTGAATTTTCATTTTATTGGGCCTCAGTTTCCCAAAGTAGGAATATTGTGACTACGGAATGAAGTAACAGTTGTGAAGTTCAGTAAATGTGTAACATTAGTTTCTGTACTTCCGCCCACATAGAAGCAGAGCACAGAGTACCCTGTCCTTGTGACTGATCAATGTGCTGAAATTAGGATGGAGAGGATGATTCTAAGAAGCAGCTGGGAGAGGTCTGTGGAATGGGGTGGGCAGGGCGGGGCCAGGCCAAGGATAAATAGAGGCAGACCTTGCAGTTTGAGCAATGTGAGCACCATAGGTTGTGGAGGAGTAAGTAGTTTGCCTGAGGGCTGAGGTGAGAAATGAGAAGTAAACCAGGCTGTCAAATAGGCAACAGGAACCCGGCTAGCACACCTCCTCTGGACATGACTACTTTGGTTGGGCTTGGAGAAGCCTTGCTCCTTGAGGTTCCTGCAGAAATGTCCCCATTAGGCCGCCTGGCTGCCATTAGTTACTTAGCGAAAGTGGTGACTTGAGGGACCTTGGAAGTGACATGCCTTAGCACTTACTATCCTGCATTTCCTGTGATCTGCAGAGGTGCTTTTGGCTTTGCTCCAAGTCTAGGATGTGTGAACAGGAGCCAAAGGGAAAGCAAAGATTGCTTATTCCTTCCCATTACAGCTGTCAGACATCTCAGAGCCGAGGGCAGAAGCTGTCCGTGTGTGGTGTTTCAGGGAGGTCATTTTGAGAACAACATCAACAAGAACATTAAAGACAGTGGCCATGAAACAGTGATGCCTCGTGGGAAATCAGGTCTTACACATCTGGTCACGCTAGAGTGGGAGGAATTTCTGATTTGGGTAACTTTAGAGGGCCTTTCCCATTGTAAGAGTCTTCAGATCCCCTCTTCTTGGGGCTGGGGGATGAATGATAGGGTGCCCTTATCCCCGCTCCTGAGGATTCTGGATGGTGGGGACTGGTGGGAGCAGTTGTCTGAAACCACAGAGCAGAACTCAAAAGGCAGTAGAGCTGAGGCCAGCCTTATCGAGGAGGCCAGAGACACTTCAAAGCCAAGGTCCCTGGTGAAGAAAGCCAGGAGGGGGCTGGGCTCGGAGAATGGCTAGGACAGAGGTTGTCCCGGAGGCCGAGCCACAGAACCTTGAACTCTCAAGAGATTCTTCTGCTAAGTTTGAAGGCACTTCCAGAGGGTTTCAGATACATTTTACACATAGGCAACATTTGTGTACGTGACTTTTAAAGAGAATAACTTTTGCCTAAATGTTTACATTTTTGCAAAATTGCTAGTTTCAATAAAATCATTTTGGGCTAGGGATTTAGCTCAGTGGTTCTGCCACCTGCCTTGCAAGCTCAAGGACCTGAGTTCGATCCCCGGTATCAAAAAAAAAAAAAAAATCATTTTGTATTTCTGTTTTCCAGTGACAAACAACTGAAAAATAATACTAGCAACAGATAATGTTTTGTATTTGGGAAGTGAGCACCAACTATTAAAAGAGTAATTCTAATTGAAAATAAAATAAAAGGCTTGAATAAATGGGAAGCAGAAGATTTAACATGGTTAGGATATTACATACTTAATATGCAATGTAATTCATGAAGTTAACAGGAATAAGATTCCCATTGTGCTATTTTGTGGAAATTGATAATCTCTAATAAGATTTTTTTTTTCTTGGTACCGGGGATCGAACTTGGGACCTTGCGCTTGCAAGGCAGGCAGCAGAACCACTGTACTAAATCCCCGGCCCTCTAATAAGATTTTTATAGAGAAAATCATAGTTAAGCACACTAAAGAGTTTTTGAAAAGGTATAAGCCAATATATCATAAATTACTCTGTTAATATTTAAAATGTGACATAAAGGACTTTTAAATCATATGGTGTAAGGGCTGGGGATTTAGCTCAGGGGTTTTGCTGCCTGTTGTGCAACCGCAAGGACCTGAGTTCGATCCCCGGTACCTCTCTCTCTCTCTCTCTCTCTCTCTCTATATATATGGTATGAGATTTAAAACCAAAGAGTTTGATAAAAAAACATAGTATGGATTCTGATAGTTGTAAACTTGGTAAAAGGTTAACATACAGTAGTCTAGAAAAACAATGAGAAAAATCATATTTCATAGTTGTTATTGAGAAAGGTATAAAACTTGGGGTTTTTTGAACTTATGTGTTTTATGTGTTCATCTGACATCATTTGTCATAGTAAGAAGTTTTAAAGAGTATTGAAAATAACTCTTGAAGTGAGACAAAATGGTATAGTTATCTATCTGTGGAGGATGAATTAATTTTGCATGTACTATTTACTATTTAATAGTACCTAAACTGTAAGGCCCTGAACATATATTCAGTAATAAACTTGATCAATTCTTGATTGAAAAAAGGAAAAAATAAAAAATTGTTTGTAATAAACAAGGCTGATAAAGATTAATATTTTAAAAAACGTAAAGAACAATTAAAAATCTGTAGGTCAGTACCTTTTCTCCATTAGATGAACAGTTATTTTTTGTTTGTTTTGAGATGAGTCTCAATATGTAGTTCAAGCTTGCCTTTTTTGTGTGTGTGTGTAATTACTGGGGTTCAAGCTTGAGCCCTTATACTTGTACAGCAGGCGGTGAAACCACTGAACTAAATCCCCGGCCCCATCAAGCTCACCTTTAACTAAGTATGTAGCCCCAGGCTGGCCTCAAACTCATGGTGATCCTTCTGCCTCAGTCTCCTGAGTGCTAGATTATAAGCATACACCACCATGCCTGGTTAGATAAATACTTAAAGGATATGAACAAATAGTAATATATTTTTTAAAAAAGATCAGGCCAACATTTGGGGAATATTTCCTTCTTGCTAATAATAGAAGCATGAATTAATAAAAGCATAAGTTTATTTTATACCCACTGAAGTAGCAAAAGTGACGAAAGTCAGTGTTAATGTGCTGGTGGAGTAAGAAACACACTACCAGATTGCCGGTATGTACAGTAGGTCAAAATGAAACACAAGCTGCCAAGAGAATTACTGTGTCCTTTGAAGCAATATTCCCAAGGGAATAAATCTCAAGAAAATGTAAAAGAAGAAAGGTTATTGTACAAAGATCATTGTAGCCAGTGTTTATGTAGTGAAAAACCTGGCCATTAGCCTGCCTGCCAATTTGGTAATGATTGTGCAACTAGAACAAATTAATATGCCATCTTATTAATAACTGTTAAACCCAGGAACTTTGGCGATATCATATGTAGGATATATAAATTAAAAAGTAGAGTGATTGTGCTATGTTGACATTGATAACAGAACTATCAGGATTTCTCAAGCTAAATCAGTGCTCAGACTTCAAAGTGATAAATCAAGTATTCGGCTGTCATATATGGCTTCCATGTTGGAAAACTCAAATCTATAAAAAAATTTTATTAGTCCATGTTTGCAGTACATAATGATTACGTTCATTGTGGGGAGTTAACACATGGACTTGACACATCTTAATGTTTTTTACATCCTCTTCCCTCCCTCCCCCAAAGCTCAAATTGCATAGAAGAACTCCATCATCATAGAAAGTTCTATTGGACAGTATTGACCTAAGTCATTAATGTCCTAAAATGGAGGAGGCTTTCCATCTTTTTCTGTAGTTTGAATATACAATTAAGAGTTTGCTTCCATTCCTTTATAGTCACAAATATAAAGGTATACACTGGTATAAAACTCAGAGAAAATATGGCAGTGAATAATTTTGTGTAATTAAAATGTTAAGTAAAGGGAATTGTCTTACTGACTTTAATTTCTCAATGGGCAATCATTTCTCAGACTAGGGGAGATAATGTTCAAAGAAGTATTGCAATAATTAAAGTCAATTGTGTGTGTATATGTGTATAATTTTTGAAGAAAATACGTCCTTCTCTTGATCTATCTGCTTCATAAATGTATCTTTTTTTCCTTTTCTGTGCTTTATCCTTTTTTTGTCATTTATTTATTTATTTAGTTTGGCATATCTTAGGCCTGGCCCAGGAGAGCACTCATTCACCACATCAGTCAGAAATGCATCTTTTTAAATTGTATTCTTTGGGCCAGGTATGGTGCTGCATACCTGTAATCCCAGAACTCAGGAGGCTGAGGCAAGAGAATCACCATGAGTTTGAGGCCAGCCTGGGTTATGTAGTGAATTCAAGCCCAGCTTGAACTACATAGTGAGACCCTGTGTCAAAACAAAACAAAACAAAATAGTATTCTTTGAGTAGGCCCAACTTTATAAGTTAACAAGGGATACGTGCATTGATCTTTGCTGAGTGAACATTTTATGGACGATTTTGTTTTCCTCTGTGAAGTGGAAACATGACAATAGTCATATTTTCTTCTAGGAACTTATGCAAATATTCTCATGATGTTCTCTCAGAAAAAAATTTCCAAGTCCTGAAAAATCATGAACTCTCTGGACTAAACCAAGAGCAACTAGCGGTGCTGCTTCTCCAAAGTGACCCATTTTTTATGCCCGAGGTAAGTGTTATGATTCCTGTTTACACAGCACGGAGAGCATTATGGGTACCATTGTATCATTGGTGTGTTGGTTTAGGAGCAGAGAAAACTTGAAGTCAGGAGCAGGGTTCTGCAATTGGCGGTCAAGGCTGTTGCTGAGTGATGTAAGAGATTCCAGCAGTTTCCCTCCTACTTGAGGATGGATAAGTATTTAAATCTGGATGACTCTACTGCTTGGCTGCTAGGGAACCCCTGGGTGGGGAAGGGTGACCCCTTGACATAATAGTTGTAGGGTTAATTGATGCTTTACATCAGGGTGGCCTCTTGGAAGGGGTCGCCTTTGAATTGAAGTTTGACAGGTGGTAGGGAAGATGAGGGTACAGGCTCAGCTGTTTTAACAGACTCTCCCATCCACCCCACAGTATGGTGAAATAAACTATACTTTTATTTCCCTACCACTAGATAGGCTAGATGAGGAGTCAGCAGTCTAGCTCAAGGCCTGCCACCTGTTTTTATAGATAAGGGTTCATTGGAATGCAGCCACGCCTATTTGTTTATGTACTGTCTGTGACTGCTTTTACACTATCAGGACAGGTTGGGTAGTTGCAGCAGAGACAGAATGGCCTGAAAAGCCTAGAATATGTACTCTGTAGTCTTTTACTTGTCTCCATGTGGGCAAGCAGGCAACCTGGGTGAGCAGGCAGCTGGATCATCCAGGCACTCGGGCCAGTAGGTCAGATCTGTTATCTTCAACATGTGGCTTCCAGGGCTCAGTGGCACTGACCCTGCCTGGCAAATGCAAGGTCCTGAGTTCAATCCCCAGTTCTGCAAAAAAAAAAAAAAAAAATCTGGCTTCTATCTTCAGATACAAGGGTGATCTCATTTGTCACCATTTTCTAGCCAAACCGATTGGAGTATAGAGAGGAAGGGGAAGATAAACCATTTCCTTTTTAAAAGAAGTTGCACTGACATCGTATATAGCACATCTGCTCATGTTTCATTGGCTATAGCTTTTCACATGGTCACGGTTAGCTGAAAGGAAGGCTGGGAAATGGTGATTCTGGCTGGGTGACTATATATATCTTTCTAAACCTTGTTAACTTTTGTTACTAGAAGAAAAATCGGAACAATGGTGAATAAGTCTCATCTAGATAGGCATAGAGACTTACAATCAGAAGATGTGGTTTAAAGCATAAATCCAGTCTGAGAAAAACCCTTGAATGTGAAGATGTTAGCCTCATACTGAAAGAGAGGCAGAGGGACACATCCCGTATGGAGTGGCTGGGAGGGATGGTGTCTTAGTTACTTTTCTCTCATTGGTGAGACAAAACACCTGACACCCAAAGTTAAAGGGGGGAAAGGTTTATTTAGCTCACAGTTTGTAGAGGTTTCAGTCCATAATCGGCCCGCTCGAAGGCAGGGTGGCTTGGCAGAGGGGCATTGCAGAGGAGACAGTTCAAGGGAAGCAGAAGACAGCAAAAGGAAGCAAGCAAGGGACCTTAACAGTGTCTTTCTGCCCCTTTTATCTTATCCAGACTACTTAGGGCAGTTAGCACTCACACCCTTAATCCTAGTGCCTCTGAGCCTAGTGTCACACACTCTAGATCCAGCCACCTCTGAAAAACCCAACCTATGACCACATGAGGCTTTGAGAGGACATTAAAACATGAGCCATAACAGATGGGGATCATGTGAGTAAGGGTGGAATTCAAATTCCATATATACATATATGTATATACACACACACACACATATATATATAATATTTTTTTTTCTTTGAGACAGGGTCTCACTGTCTTTCAGGCTGGTCTTAAACTCACTATGTAGCCCTGGCTGGCCTCGACCTTGCAGTGATCCTCCCGCCTCAGCCTCCTGAGTGCTGGCCCAGCTGCAAGGCTGGAGTCCAGATGCCCATTTATTTATTTATTTACTTATATGGGGAATCAAACTCAGGACCTTGCACTTGTGAGGCAGGTGTGGTGCCACTGAACTACATCCCCGGCCCTCGGATGCTCTTTTATTTATTTATTTATTTATTTATTTTTGGTACCGGAGATCGAACTTGGGTCCTTGTGCTTGCGCAGCAGGCGCCGGAACCACTGAGCTAAATCCCCGGCCCTTTTATTTTTATTTATTTATTTAAAAAATTTTTTTGGTACTGGGGACCGAACTTGGGACCTTGCACTTGTAAGGCAGTCAGTGGAACCACTAAGCTAAATCTCTGGCCCTCGGATGCCCTTTTATACATGACAAGATAGCTGCTGGAGACCTCTTGAGGATTAAACACTTTTATTCTCAACTCAGTGTATTTCTCTAACCACTTAAAAGACCTTAGGACATAAGAGGTGATTTTGAGTTGGGCACTTTAGGAGAGATATGAATACAAGGTAGCCTATACGAATTTTGGGAGGGACATATTCTATTTCCTCTCTCAAGTCTATGTATTCCTCTGTAGTTCTCTCTCCAGGAAACCAAGGTTTAGAAGTCTTGTTTTGGGGTATCTGGGTGCCAGTCTAGTCCCCCACAGCTTCCAGCATGTGGAGAATGCCTTACACACCAACCGTATTAAAGGAAGGTCTCCTTTATAAACAGCAGCATCTTTCCTTTTCCTTTTGTGAGAGGGAATGACAACTAGGGAAAGACTTGCTATGACACTTTAGTAATAAATTGTGGCCCACCTTTCATGTGGTGTCAACTGGAGCCTTAAAAAGGTCACTCATTGGGTCTGAGTGCTTCAGAAGCACCAAGGACTCCTCCTCACGTGGGGACATACACTTATCCAGTTATCAGAGTATCTGGGAGCAGCAGCTGTTCCCTTCTCTGCAGAGGAGCTTGGGAATAGGAACTAAGAGAAAATGGTGTTTCCCAGGGGGTCCTATAGAGCCCATTGATGGAAACACTGAGAAGGTCCCTTAGGAAAATGATCTCATCTGATGTTTATCAAACAGAGAGCGTGTGTGCCGGGGACTTAGCACCGTGGTTCTGCCATCTGCCTCGAAAGCACAAGGTTCCGAGTTTGATCCCCAGTACCAAAAAACAGCCAAAAAAACAAAACAGAGAGGAAGCAATGTCACCCAAGGTCCCCACCCATGCTTAACAGATTGGGTGGGTCGCTTCTCCCAGAAGCTTCTTTTTAGCTAATAACAGAATTTCCATTTACCACTAGTCAGAGTGAAGAATCCCTGGCTGGGAGACTTGCTGTTTCCTGAGCTAGGGGTGTGAGGAGCTGAGTAATGTAGTCAGCATTAGTTAGTATCATCAGCATCAGTTTATCTTAGGAAATGCTGAGCAAGGGGTCTTTTGAGGAGTATTTACCTTGGGGGTTTGGGGGGGAGGTCAACCAGATTTCAGGTAATTTAAAAAGACTTGGTTCAGGTTGGTTCTCTGAGAAGGGAAGAATTATTCCTGCAGATTAGCACTGTTGTTTTCATGATTTGGATTTTTATCAGAGGTGATAAGAGGAGAGAGGAGCTCAGTTACATGCAAGAAGGAGTGTAGAAAAACTGTGAGTAGGGGTTGGGTGGACAGGGGCCTGAGAGGACCACAGGGTAATGTTCTCAGTCCTCCCAGCTCTCCCTTTAACTACCTGTGACCTTTGACAAGGCATTGAGCCCTTCCTGCATTGAGCCCTTCCTGCATCACTGTATTTGTTGTTTGTTTTGCATTCTTTCGATTAAGATTTAGAAATGACCACCAGCCTGAGACGCTGGGTTAAGTGCTAAAGGCAGCAGTGGACAAGAATACTCCCTACCCTTAAAAAAAACCCAAAACTTAAAATAGTCACACCTTTCCACTCAGCCTTGACCTATGACAGTGGTGGCGAACCTATGCCACGTGTGGTGCAGCGGGTTGTTTGTACCATGGAAAGCTTTAAAAGGTTTGCCATCACTGACCTATAAGAACATAAAAACATCAGGCAAACTTGTATGTAAAGTTGTAAAACTAAAATGTGCTTATTAAAGGAAGAAATTACTTCATTTAGCTGAATTGAGGCAGCCACCATCTTGCTTCAACATTAGCATTAGTATTAACCAAAGGATCATTTGTGAAGTTGTGGATTATTTTCCAGGACACTGGTTCTCCAACTTGAGCATGCATCAGAATACTTTGGAGAGGGCCAGGGATTTAGTTCAGTGGTTCCACCACCTCCCTCGCAAAAAAAAGGTCCCAAGTTCAATCCCTGGTACCAAAAAAATTAAATAAATAAAAATACTTTGGAGGATTGTTAAAGCACAGATTCGTAGGCCCCACTACTGCTGCTTCTGGATTCTAACAAATGACCCAGTGGTGGTGATAGCGCTTAGTTCTGGGACCACACTTTGAGAACCGATGGTCTAGAGTCTAGAATCTGAATAGTAAACTCCACAGCAATTTTATCTACTTGAATCTGGCTTTAGAAGCTATCTTATATAGCTAAGTCATTGTTTCTGGAGTTTGGATTCATGTCTTTTTTTTTTTTTTCCTGGTACCAGGGATCAAACTCAGGACCTTGCACTTGCCAGGCACCACTGAGCTAAATCCCCGGCGATGGATTCATGTCTTTACCACATAGACAAATCATGGGAACCATGTTGATCTGGTCTACAGAGAGTCTTTGAAGATAACTTATGAATGTTTTTATCTTTAAAATGCCTGAAGCTCAGTTTTTTTTACGAATCATATTGGTTTCCTCATTTATGGTTCGAAGATGTATACAGTACCTTATTTCTTGCACAGCACCATCACACGTTTCGTTAGTCTGCTTAACCATGTGTTCAGGTGAACCAGCCAAATAAATGTTTTCCTCTTGTTAGAAGAAAGGAAACAGAAACTGAGTAGGTCTCTTGATCACCCAGCTGCTGCTAGGCCCTAAGACTTTAAAAAGGCATCTTTTAGGGCTGGGGATTTCTGCCTGCCTCGAAAGCGCAAGGTTCCTAGTTCCATCCCCGGTACCAGAAAAAAAAATGCATCTTTTAGTCCTGCATCCTATCCTGTAATTGGGCCTCAGTGGCAGAATTCTACCTTTCAGAAGGAACTGTATCTCTGTAGAGCTAGATATGTAGATACATCCATTTAGATAAAATAGAAGATCATTTGAGAAACTTCACATTCTCCTTGGCAGAAACCAAATTCTAAATTCCCAAACAGTTGCCTATAAGACACACCTTTTAATTGCAAACTAGACCTTACTTTTTGGATGCCTTTATAATATAGAGCTCATTTTGCATCCTGTTTGTGGCTGGGCTTGTGACTCATATTCTCCCAAGGATTAATCAGGTTCCCCACTATCTTTTATTTATTGTGTAGACATCTTCTGCCCCCAAATTAATCATCAGTTGAGTGCATTTTATCAAATATTCTGCAATACATTTTTTTCCCCTTTGTATATTTGTTTGCTGTAGAAATTTTTGTGTACTTAAACCTTCTTGAATGAGTGTGTGGCAGATACAAGGAGGTGTTTTTTTCTCTGCTTGTTTCTTCTGTAGATATGCAAAAGTTACAAAGGAGAGGGTCGAAAACAGATCTGTAACCAGCAGCCACCATGTGAAAGACTCCACATCTGTGAACACTTCACTCGGGGGAACTGTAGTTACCCCAACTGCCTCAGATCCCACAACCTGATGGACAGAAAGGTGCTGGCCATCATGAGAGATCATGGACTGAGCCCAGCTGTGGTCCAGAACATCCAGGATATCTGCAACAATAAGCATATGCGGAGGAACCCTCCTGGGTCCAAAAGTAAGTGCTTCCGACATTGAATTGCATGAACTTTTAAATGAAGGGAAATCACAAGGAAAGGAAAAACAGCATCTTCAAACACACTTGTCCCATCATTCTTGCCACTTTCTGAAGCAGTTCTGGAAGTCCTCTTTTATAAGTGTCTTTAGGTGTGCTGTTGTGGCTACCTCAGTGTTCTGGATTGATTCACAATGTTTACTTTCATGGTCATTTTGACTTTGGGGAAGAACCAGAAGTTATACAATGCCAGATCTGGTGAATAGGGTGAATGAGGACACACTAATATTTTAGTTTATTAAAAACTTCTTTTACCTGGGCAGAGTGGTGCACCCATGTAATACCAGCACTTGGGAGGCCGAGGCAGGAGGATCGTCATAGGTTTGAGGCCAGCCGGGGCTACAGTGAGTTCAAGGCCAGCCTGAACTACATAGCCAGACCCTGTCTCAAAAATAAATAAATAAATAAGAATAATTTTTAAAAATTAGTACATGTTTGTAGTATATAATGTTTACATTCCTTGTGTGGAATTGGTACATGTACATAACACATCTTAGTTCCTTTTTTCATCCTCTTTCCCTTTCCTACTTGCCTCCCTCTATCTCTTGATCTCCTTCCCTTTTATGAAATATCTATCTCCCTATTTCATATTATCTATGTCTTTTACTTTGCTCTGTATTTATAATTTGGGTCTCTTATGAGAGAAACCATGTGATATTTAAGCTTGTGTGTCTGATTTATTTTACTTAACTTTATGGTTTAAAGGTGCATCTATTTTTCTACACATGAATTCATCTTTATGGAGAGTAGTACTCCATTGTTTATAAATGGCACATTTTCTTTATCCATTTATCTGTTGATGAACAAATAGGCTGCTTCCAATATTTAGTTATTAAGAATTGTTAGTTCGATCCCCGGTACCAAAAAAAAAAAACAAAAACAAAGAATTGTGCTGCTATACACATGAATGTGTATGTATCACTATAATATGATATCTTTAATTCTTTTGGGAAGATACCTAGAAGGGGAATAACTTGGATCAAATGGAATTTCTAATTTTAGTTTTTTTGAGGAATCTCCATACTTATTTCCATAGTGGTTGTTCTAGTTTACATTCCCACCAAAAATGTAGAAGGGTTCCTTTTGACCCTCTACGCCAGCATTTGTCATTATTTGTTTTTGGTTTTTTGGTACCAGGGATTGAACTCGGGTCCTTGTGCTTGTGCAGCAGGTGGTGAAACCACTGAGCTAAATCCCTGGCCCAACATTTGTTATTTGATTTCTTGGTGGGCTTTTTTCTTTTGAGACAGGGTCTTGGTCTGTAGTTCAGGCTGGGCTTGAACTCACTATGGAGCCCAAGCTGGTCTTGAACTCATGGCGATCCTCCTGCCTCAGCCTCCCAAAGTGCTGAGATTATAGGTGTGTACCACTACACCCAACCTTGATTTCTTGATAATTAGACATTCTTTCTTGGGTAAGATGGAATTTCAGTGTTTTTTAAATTTGCATTTCTCTAATAGCCAGCGATGTTGAACATTTCTTTATGTATGTATTGGCCATTTTCCCTTCTTTTGTGAAGGGTGTATTCATTTCAGTTGCCTATTTTTTGATTGGGTCTTTTATTGTGGGTGGCCTAATTTTTTTGACTTTTTATATATTCTGGATATTAGTCCTATGTCCAAGAAATAGCTGACAACATTTTTTTCCCATTCTGTAAGTTTTGTTTTCACACTATTCGTTGTTTCTTTTGCTGTGCTGAACCTTTTTAATTTGATATGATCCAATTTGTTTATTCTCGGTACTATTTCCTGTGCAACTGGGGCTCTGTTCAGAAAGTCCTCACCTATGCCTATGACTAAGGATTTTACCTATTTTGCTTTTCAGCAGGTGAAGTGTTTCTGTTTTAACATTTAGTTCTTTAGCCAAGCATGGTGTTGCATGTCTGTAATCCCAGTACTTAGGAGGCTGAGGCAGGAGGATTGCTATGAGTTTGAGGCTATCCTAGGCTACAGAGTGAGTTCAAGACCAGTTTAAACTACAGAGTGAGACCCTGTTTTCAAAAAAATTGTTTTTTGATCCATTTTTATTTTAGTTTAGTATATGGTGAAAGATATGGGTCTAGATTCAGTCTTGTGCCCGTGGAAAGCCCGTTTTCCCAACACCCTTTATTAAAGGGGCTGTTTTTCTTTTTTTTTGGTACTGGGGATTGAACTCGGGACCTTGCGCTTGCAAGGCAGGTGGGGGAACCACTGAACTAAATCCCTGGCCCCAAAGAGGCTGTTTCTCTTTCAGTGTATGATTTTGCCCCTTTGTCAGAGATAAATAGCTGAGTGTGCCTGGGGCTGTTTCTGCATCCTCTATTCTGTTTCACTGATCCACAACTCTGTTTTTATGCCAATGCCATGCTGCCTTTATACTTAGCTTTGTAACACAACTTCAGGTCTGGGATTATGAGTCCTCCCATTATGCCCTCGCTACCCAGGATTGCTTTTGCTGTTCTGGGTCTTCTCGGGTTCCATGTGAATTTTAGGATTGTTTCTCCAGGTCTGTGAAGAATGCTGTGGGTATTTTGATTGTGTTAAATCTGTGTATCAATTTTGGAAATACAGAGATTTTTTACTATATTGGTTCTATCTATCTAGAAACAGAAGATATTTTTCCCTTTTCTGATGTCTTCTTCAATTTCCTTTTTCGAAGTACTGTAGTTTTCATTGTATCGCCTTTTCACTTCCTTAGGTTTTTTTTTTCTTTTCGGTACCAGAGCTCGAACTCAGGACCTTGTGCTTGCAAGGCAGGCATAGTGCCACTGAGCTAACTCCCTGGCCCTTCCTTAGTTAGGTTAATTCCTAAGTATTTAATTTTTCTTGGTGTTATTGTGAGTGATTTTTTTTTCAAATTTCTTTCTCAGTGGGTTCATTATTAGTGTGTAGGAACATTATTGATTTAGGGTGCTGATTTTGTATCCTGGTAAATTACTAAATTTGTTTATTTATTCTAAGCGCCTTTTGGTGGAGTTTTTGGGTATTCTATGTAGAGGATCATGTCATCTGCAAATAATGATAATTTGATTTCTTCCTTTCTTTGTTTTTGGTTACCAGGAATCGAAGTCAGGTCCTTGCGCTTGCACAGCAGGCGGCGAAACCACTGAGCTAAATCCCTGGCCCCTGTTTTCTTCCTTTCTTTGCCATAAGGTCCTCACACTGTAGCATATGTCAGAATTTCCTTCCTTTTTTATGGCTAAATAATAGTCTATTGGATGGATACACCATATTTTGCTTATTTGACTGTTTCCATTTTTGTTTTGTTTTTTTGGTTTTTTGGGGATCGAACTCAGGTCTTTGTGCTTGCGTGACAGGCAGTGAAACCACTGAGCTAAATCCCTGGCCCTATGTGATCATTTTTGATGGACATTTGGGATTTTCTACATTTTGGGTTTTTCTTCTTCTTTTTTTTTTTGTCAGTTTGTTTGTTTGTTGTTGTTGTTTTTGTACCAGGGATTGAACTCAGGTCCTTGCCCTTGCAAGGCAGGCAGTGGAACCACTGAGCTAAATCCCCAGCCCTTGTTTTGTTTTTTGAGACAGAGAGTCTCATTATATAGTTCCAGCTGGCTTTGAACTTATTTTGTTGCCCAGGCTGGCCTTGAACTCACAGAGATCCTCCTACCAGCTTTTGGGATTACAGGTGTGTGCCACCATACCTGGTAAAATTTTCTACATTTTGGCTCTTGGGAATAATGCTACTATAAACATGGGTGTATAAATATGTCATTGAGACCCTGCTTTCAGTTCTTTTGGGAATGTAATCAGAAACGGGATCGCTGGATTGTATGGTAATTCCATGTTTAATTGTATCTGGAGCTGGCATACTGTTTTACTATTTTGCATTTCTACCAGCCATGTACAAGGGTTCAAACTTCTCCACATCCTCTTCCTCCATTGTCATTTTCTGATTTTGTTTTTATAATGGGCATCCTGATAGGTGTGAAGTGGTACCATTTCTTAAATATTTCCTTATTTTATATATAGTGGCTTTCATTGCCTTTTTTTTTTTTTTTTTTTGCGGTACCAGGGTTTGAACTCAGGACCTTGTGCTTTTGAGGCAAACATGGTGTCACTGAGCTAAATCCCCAGCCCTGCAAAATTTTTAATGTCTTTATAAAGTGGATGTAGAAGAGGAGATTTTATGAAGTAGAGATCACACGGTTCTAAGATGTGAAAAGTAATGACTGAGTTGGTCATGGTGGTGCACACCTCTAGTCCCAGCCACACAGGAGGCTGAGGAGAGGGGATCATTGGAGCTCAGGAGACCAGGCTAGGCAACGCAGTGAGGCCCCCATGAGAAGAAACAAAACAAAACAAAAGGAGATGAATAATTATACTGCCCTTACATTTATCAAATGGTTTGTAGTTTACAAGAGACTTTAACCAAAATATCATTATTTCTCACCTTAAAACCATGCAGAAATACAGTTATATTATTAATTAGCCTCACTTATAAGGTAAGGAAGATAAGACTCAGAAATTTTAAGCAACCTTTATCGCAGGCAGCTTTTAGAAGAATGAAGGGTAGTGTGATGAATGATCAGTCATGTTTTTAGGCTTCCCTAGAGAGGAGCAGAGTCTGCGTGTTCAGAGTCCATACCATGCTCTTCTCCCACACCACATGGCTCTGAACAGGGGATATCTGGAGGGACCATTTGTGGTGTAGTTTCACAATGTAAATTAATCGTGTATGAGAGAGATCTGTATTATCATTTCTAGTTCCTCTACTGAGTTAACCATTTTGTTGACAGCAAGATTTTTGCTTTTCCTATGTTACTGTTGCCCCCTAGGTTTGGCCGGAAAAGAACTCCTCCCCCAGTAGCACAACGTGCATGGTGCACACACACATGCACTCTTTGTGAGCACACAGACAGGCCTGACAGATGCACCATGCCTCAAACACAGCCGTGTGCATCTTCCACATCTCTCCCCCAATCAGCCTCATACATGTACTCCATGCACACACACACTCACCCCTTCCTTCCTGCTTCCAAACAGGCATGAGTCATTCTGATTGTAGAAAGGCCACTGCTTTGTTCATTTTGACTTGAGTATTAAGCTTGGGTGTTGGGGAACTACATGAAGCAATCTGGAAAACTTCTAGTTTAAATGAAATCATACCTTGAGAATGTGGTTTCATTTTCTATTCATTTTAAGTATTGTGAATACTTAGATGGTCAAGTACAGCTATGTTACAATACGGACAAAATCTAAGTGGTTTTTGGAGAAGTCTTCCTAATTTTCCTTACTCCATCTCCTCATTCACCATAGCAGTGAAAGTTAACTTGGGACCAGGGGAAGTGGATAGCCCCGCCTGCAGGTTCAGGGTGAGGGGGTGCCCCTGAGTCTCAGGAGAGAAGCAGGTGAGTACCAGGTTGCACCACTAATCCCAGGCCCCGGAAGTCTGGTCCCTGCTACATGCCCTGCATGTAGGATTCCTACTGCTGCTTCATCGGAACCACCCTTCCACAAGATTTTCATGCACCCGATTAGGACGAGTCATTTGATAGAATTTGGATGGCAAGGCTGGAAAGCAAAGAGGAGAAATGGTGGCAGACTTTAATCCTGTGAAGTCTAGTTTTTATTCTGGTTTTGTTTTCTCTTTTCAGCTCCTGTGCACCGTAGAGCTAGGGCAGCTAGAGGGAGAAGCAAGAGTAGAGACCGAGTCTCTCAGGACATCAAGGAGTTCCTTCCTTCTGCCTCAGCTCACAAGTCAGGCACTCCCAGTCCGGATGGCACTGACAGTAGGGCCTCCCTGGAGGACGACCCTATGGATGACCTCATCCACAAGTTCGAGTTTCTGGAGACTCCAGATTGCACCCAGCCTTCCTCAGTCTCATCTAAGGCTGCTGGTCTTGGAAGACCAGGTCAAGTGGGAACAAGCCAGAGATTCTTAGAGAATGGCATTCCAGATGGCCTCTTTCATAGCAATCAAAGCCATCTTGCCTCTAATTCAACACCAGCCTCTAACCAGAAGGGCTCCCCATCCTGGCTGAATGCTCAAGGCACTGGGAAGGAGAGTGAGTTTTTTCCAAGTCAAGCTGTCCCTAGTTTTCCTCTTGATTCTACACAAACACTCAAAGCCTTAAACTCCAGAAAGGTGGTGGGAATGCTTTCATCAGACCACATGAATGTCAAGGATAAGAGTGGATCTCAAGACATCCAGCGAATCCCTATTTTCAGTAGGAATGCTGATGGAGTGGCCATGAACATGAATTTTGGAAAGACAGCCCAGAGAGAAATGGCACTATCAAGTTATCAGGACAGCAGAGCCACTCCCCGGGATCTCCACATTGGCAGCATTGCCAGTGATGATGCTAGAGTGGCATTTCTGAATGGTAAGTACAGAGGGGAAACCTTTTGAGCTGGTAAATCTGTCTACAATGCACCAGATGGCTCTGGTCATATGGATGAAACTTGTCTGTGGATAATGCTACTAGTTTTGGCTTAAAAACAGCAGTCATGAGTGGGGGATGCATTCTGTTCTGGAAGTCAGAATGTAAGAAGCCACTGCTGAGGAAACCTCTGTCCCCGCACAAGTCCACAGGCTGCCTCAGTCTCCTTCCTCAGGCAACAGAGCTGGAGCTATGAGATTGAGAGTCAGAACTCGGCCCGGGCTTCTGTTAGCTCTGCCAATGTGCTCTCGAGCAGGACCCCGAACCTCACTCGGTGTAGGTTTCTCAAAGGGGACCCCCATGTCTCCAGTCAACAGCAGAGTGGCATGGCCATCAGCTCTTCCTTTAGGGGTAGGGGTAGGGGTAGGAGGTTTGCTTAGCACTAGTGAGAAAGACAGGGAGGCCTGCTAGGAGAACAACATTCAGTAAGTGCTACCTTTATTGAGAACTGAAATAATTAGGCTCTAGTTTAAGGAATAAACATAACTTGCATGTGGCCCTACTGTCCCTGTTTCATTTTATGGAGGGGTTCTCTGGGCCTTCAGGAACAAGCCATGAATCCCAGGAGTTTTCTTGAACTTTGATATCCTCCCTGTTATGAGACCATTAGTTTTCATTTTTTATTTAAATGTGAAGATCAGCATACATGCATCCTCTTTTTTTTTTTTCTTTTGGTGCTGGGGATTGGACTTGGGACCTTGCGCTTTCAAGGCAGGTGCCTGAACCACTGAGCTAAATTCCCGGCCCTCCTCTTTTGTTTTATAGATTCCATATCTGATATTACAAATACCACATCTAGGATGGGTAATCTTGGCCCAGAGGGAATTTGTGTCGATTATCTGCATAACCGTTGTCAGCCTAACAGTGAGTAATATAAACTCTCTATAAGCCTCTACCTTTTGGTCACTGTGAATAATGCTGCTGTGAACATAGGCACGGCAGTATATGCTTAAGGGCTGCTTTCATGTATTTAGGGTAAATACCCAGATGTAGAATTGGTGGGTCATGTGGTAATTCTATATTTAGTTTTTGCATATACCATTTTCCATATTGGCTGGACCATTTGTCATTTTCACCAGCAAAGTGGACAGGTTCCCTTCAGTACACATTCTTCCCCCCCTCACCTCCCTTCCTCTCTTCTCCCATTTCTTCCCCTCCATTCTAGTAGGGTGTGAGGTGTGGATTATGATGAGTGCTTCCATTCTTTTGATCAGCCAAGTCTCAAGGAGTGCACATTCTGTGGGTTTCCCTGTGATGATGGCTTTTTATTTTAAAGTAGTTGCACATGTTTTGAACATTTGAAATAAGTTTGAAAAACAGAGCTATTTTTGGCAGTTTTGAATTATGGGCTTGTAAGACTGATTCCTTATCCAGCAAACATTCATTTAATGACTATCTTCAGTGTGCCCAGCCCCATACTAGTTGTGCAAGGGGATATAAGCTAATCAATGAAGCAGAGTTTTCTTTAATGTTTATAATTAAGGTAGGACATCAAGACACCCACAAAAAACTGCACAAAATAAATAAATATCATGTATAATATGATACATAATATATAATATGATGCATAATATCATGCATAGTATCAAGCCCAAACTATATTTTTGAATGCTGCCTTTGGGAATACAAAATACAGGTCAGAGGAGAATAGAGGGAGATTAGTTGGGGAAATCACTTTGGAAGAGATGAATTTTAGATCCAGGTTTCAAAGAAATGTAAGTGGTTGCCTGTGCTGGAGAGCACTTTGTCTTACTATACTCCCTTGGGGATGGGGAGGGTGCACAAAGGCTAACTATAGTTTAGAAATAGCTTGGATTTCCATATGGGTAAAGTGACTCTGTAGGGAATGGGGAGTTTCTGTTTCCTGATTCGTTTCTGTGAGTAATAAAGCATCCTGAATGGTGAGCATGGGGCACAGCAAGCAGAAAGCAAGCAGCATGAGCAGTAACAGCATGGTGGGGAGGGCAGCCCTGACGGAAAATCCACAATGACCTTGGTTGAATGGATCATAATCCCCCGAATGGCCATGCAGATCTTCTGTCTGTGTTCGTAGGTGACTGCAGCAAAATCCACTTTCCCCTGCCCTACCGGTGGCAGGTGTTGATGTCGCACACCTGGAAGGACTTGGAGGACATGGAGAAGATTGAGAAGGCCTATTGTAACCCCAGGAGCCATGTGTGAGTTGGTAACTGCACTCTGGGTTACGAGATCCATGTCGTCAGAAGAAAGCATAGCAGTAGGCTTACGGGGCCACCATCTGGCTGCCTCTAAGGATTCTGCGTCAAGTACATTAACAGTGGCATGAGTATTTGTTTAGTTGCTCTCTATCAGTGAGTCATGCAGAAAAGCATAGTGCAAGGTCACTTCATGATCTTCTCAACTCATCACAGGACCTTAAAAACACTGAAGGATTTAGAACAAATGAGCCTTCGGCTTAATTTAGTAATTGTTAAATATGCTTTGAGCAATTCCATCAATTCTAGTGCAGAAATTTGTTGTGTGCATTAGCATTTTCTACCTCCCTTATGCTGGCTCTTTATTCTCAAAGTGTCTAAGAGGATACCTTATATTTCTGCTCCTGTGGGGGCTGAAATAATGATATTTGCCTGACCATATTTACTTACGATGTGCAGGAATATGGGATGCATCCTTATTTTACAAGGAAATTCTATATGGGGCCGGGAGGGTGATATATGCATATTATTCATCCTATGCAGATTTTAGTAAACTAATGCAGATTGTGTGTTGCTGCATTCCGTCAGTAGAGGGCAGTATCAGCTGTCCTCGCATTTCTAGCCTTTCTATCCACCCCGCCCCCCTCCCCCACCTGGTAAATACAGAATACAGTAGTTTCTCAATTTGGAAACTCTGTGTTGACCTTTGGGGCCAGATAATTACTTGCTGTGGGGGACTGGTTGGTGGAATTCTAGGCCTCTATCCTGAATTCCAGTAAGTACCACCCTCCCTATCCCACCCCAAGTTGTCCTTTGATATTGTCACATGTTCCCTGGGGTCAAAAATCAACCTGACTGGCTGGGGATTTAGCTCAGTGGTTTCGCTGCCTGCTGCGCAAGCTCAAAGACCTGAGTTCGATCCCCAGTACCAAAAAAAAAAAAAAAAATCAACCTGACTGAGATCCTCTCATCTAAGATATCTTACCTAGAGCAGTAATCCTCAAACCTTCTTGCCTTGGGACCCCTCAACACGCTTTTTGGGGAACCAGGGATTGAACTAAGGATCTTGGGCTTTCCAGGCAGGGTGACGCCACTGAGCTACATCCCTGGCCCAACACTCTTAAAGTATACAGAGGATCTCAAAGACTTCCTGTTTATGTGAATTGTAGATATCAGGATTTATCATATTAATAATTAAAGCTGAGGGCCGGGGATTTATCGAAGTGGCACCGAGCCTGCCTTGCAAGTACCAAACAAAAAAAAATTAAAGCTAAGAAAAATTAAATATTTAACCATCCACTTAAAGACAACAACACATTCATTACATATTAACATAAGTAACATTTCTATGTAACTATGTGTATATAATTATATACCTTCATGTAGATAACCGTAACAATGACTGTTCTCCAAAACAAAAAGAGTTATGGAGAAGTGTGTCATAGGTTTATATTTTTGGACATCTCTTTAATATCTGCCTTAATAGAAGATGAGCAGTTCTTTATTCAATCTATTGTGAAATTGTATTTTGTGTAGCCTCCAGAAAACTTATGCAATAATGACAGTAAGAAAGCAAAAAAGGCAAATAATGTGTTAATATTATTATGAAAATAACTTTGACTTGCCAGTTTTCTCAAAGAGCCTCAGAGTACACTTTGGTAACTAGTCAAATAATAATACATAATTTAAGGCTAGGGATGTAGATCAGTGGTGCTGTGCCTGCCTGGCAAGCACAAGGTCCTGAGTTCAATTTCCAGCACACACAAACACACAAAAATAATTTTAAAAACTGATCTAATGTGAGTTTCTAACTTGCTTTCTAACATTGAGCCAATCAGTTGTTTTGTGGACAGTTTTATTTGGGAACATATTTTGAAGAAACAGTACATTTTGTAACACCCTTAACTATGTGATGTAGGCAAGTTACATTATGTCTCTGTATTTCCGTTTCTTTTATGTGTAATACCCATAAAAGTTAGGACTTGATTTCCAGCCCCAAAAACAAAGGAAAGAAAACTTAAAAATTCTTTTCAGTCCTAAAATATTAATTCTGCACAATTGTTAGGGAAGAGTAGACCATAGAAAGTGGATATCAAAGAATGATTGTGTTACTTTTACATTTTCTGTCTCTCAGCCTTTCGATAGAAAATCACATACTTGATTTCCAGAAAATGACTTATGCTCTTAAGCCCATTCGACGCATCTCCTCCCCTTCATCTGGCATGAACCAGGCCAGTACTGTCTTCACCACCAAATGGATTTGGTATTGGGAGAATGAATCTGGTGAATGGATCCAGTATGGAAAAGGGGTGAGTACCATTCTTCCTTGTGGGAGGCCCTTGGTTAAACTTGCCAATTTAAAAAGAAAAACCTATTAATAAAATATTTGAAGGGCTGGAGATTTAGCTCAGTGGCACTGCATCTGTCTTGCAAGCACAAGGTCCTGAGTTCAATCCCCGGTACCAAAAAAAAAAAAAGAACATATAAAATATTTGAAGTAAGGAGGAACTTTTTGTTTGTTTGTTTACATTTTTTCAGCAAGTGTAGTCTCCACTTGTAATTAGAAACCAAAACTTTTACTGGTCCTGGGGATTCAACCCAAGTCCTATGCATTGAGTTACATCCCCAGCCCTTATAGTAATTTTCATTTTGAGCCAGGATCTTGCTAAGTTGCCAGGCTAGGCTCCAGTTTGCAATCCCCGTGTCTCAACCTCCCAGAACGGTGAGATTATAGGTGTGTGCTGCCCTGTTCTGCTTACTAATTATTTTTTTATTTTTTGTTACCAGGGATTGAACTCAGGACTTTGAGCTTCCTAGGCAGGCATCGGCATCACTGAGCTAAATCCCTGGCCCATTACTAATTATTTTTAAGGAACCTCTTTAGACATGAGTTGGCTATATGACCCTCTTTCCTCACTATCAGAGATAGGGCAGAACCTTGAGATAGCTGTGTATTAATAATGAATGTTGGGTCGGGGATTTAGCTCAGTGGTTCTGCCGCCTGCCTTGAAAGTGCAAGGTCCCGAGTTCATCCCTGGTACCAAACAACAACAACAACAACAAAAATAATGAATGTTGAGCCAGTAATGATGGTGCATATCAGTAATCCCAGCACTTGGGAGACTGAGGCAGGAGGAACTCACTGTGTTCAAGGGCAGACTGGGCCACATAGGGAGTTCAAGGCTAGTCTGAACTACATAGTGAGACCTTGGATCAACCACCTCTCCAAAAAAAAAAAAAAATCACAGAGATTTGAGCCTATCCCTGAGTCAAAATTCTCAATGTCCATAACCAACAGAATAGCTTTATTTTATTTGGGGTTTTTGTTTGTTTGTTTGTTGTTTGTCTTAGGGATCGAACTCGGGACCTAGCTCTTGCAAGGCAGGTGGTGGAACCACCAGAAGAGGTTTATTTTAGCTCACAGTTTCAGAGGGTTCTGTCCATGGTTGGTTAGCTCCAAGGCAGAAATGGCAAGGTAGAAGGCCATAATGGAGGAAAGCTGCACAGCCCATGGTGGCCAGAAGCAGAGAGAGAAGGGAGGAGCCAGGGATGAGAACATACCCTTCCAGGTCACACCTCCAGTGACCACCTCCAACCAGGTACCACCTTTTGACAGCACACTTGGCTATAAGCAACTCATTAATGGGTGAATCCACTGGAGTATAGAGCACCCCTGTGAATCAGTCACCCTCCAGAAGCTCCACCTGTGAACAGGTGAGACTTTTGGGGACCATTTTAGATCTAAACCATCATAGCCATCAAAAGAGGGTGAGAGAGCAAAGTTAGACCAATAGAGAGGATGGGGTGCTTGATTGTACCAGGGGACGTATAAATTTGTTCAAGCAATGAAACGTCTGGTGTAGGTGATCACCAGTATTCAGTCAGTTTGGATTTGAAGGACTGAGGTAGAAGATTTTAGGTTGACCCACGGGGGACTAGGAATAGGGGATAGAAGTTTAGAGAAGCCAGCTGCTGTCTCTCTGTGTGAATGCCCCTTCCTTTGATTCTTAGGATAAAATAGAGTGGAAGAAAGCAAGAGGGGAGAGAGAGATTGATTAAGTAGGTGATGAAATCAGAGTGATAAAAAAGAGAAAGTAAAAGCAGGAGGTTAAGATGAAGCCGAAGATAAAGGAAGGGCAGGATATAGTGGTATAAGGTCTTCCGTAGTCAACATCCATGGCCCATGGGTTGGGCTCTGAGCAGCCTTGCTGGCTGCCAAAGCAAACAGACGTGGTTTGTGAGAAGCCCTGCTGCACCTCAGGGCGCAGTGTCTCCTGTGGATCTCATAGAGGGGACAAGGCATGCTGGGGAGTAGGGTACTTGAGATAAACAGTCTTCCCATCTTCTCGGTAGCACAGTCTTTCAAACTGTTGGAGCAGCAGATTTTATCAAATTCCCTTTCCAAGAACCTAGAGCTGCAAAGCAGAGCTGCCCTGTTGAAATGGGATGCAGTGCGGAGCCTGAGTCAGTGCTGATGACGTTGATGGTCAAGGCAAGGGTGATGTCCAAGTACAGTTCTGAAGAAGTGAGTCTGTCAGCACCTGTGAGACTAGAAACTCAACTTAATTAGCTGTGGGTTTTTTTGTTTGTTTGTTTGTTTTTTGGTACCGGGGATGGAATTCGGGTTTTTGCACTTGCGGGGCAGGCGACGAACCACTGAGCAAAATCCCTGGCCCTAGCTGTGGTTTTTTAACTATGATGGCATATGTCTGTAATCCCTGCACTGTGGGAGGCTGAGGCAGGAAGGTCACAAGCTCAGGACCAGCCTGGGCAATTTAGTGAGACCCTGTCTCAAAATAAAAAAATAAATAAAATAAAAAAATAAAGGCCTGGGAGGTAGCTCAGTGTGAAGACCCTGGATTCAATCCTTAGTACTGCTAAAACCCAACCAACCAACTAACAAATAAACAAAAAACTACAGATCTCAATGGTTCTTATGTCAAGTCCTTGCAATTTTCAGTAAGGTAAAGAGAAAAGTTGGGAAATGTTTGTATTCATCGGGGTCCCAAGGACCAAATCAACAAATGAAAAACAAAAAACCCCAAACAAACCAAAACAAAAGCCTATCAGTGGTGTTATGGCTTGTGTCTAGATGTCCCGTCAAAGCCTCAGGCAGTCCTAGGTGGGGCTTTTCAGAGGCTTCTGAATCTAGAGTGTGTGATGCTGGGATCAAGGGCGTGTGATGATTAAATGAGTCCACTGATTGGTTTGGCATAGTTGTGGGTGTGGACAATGGGAAAGCTCACCTGGGTGTGAGTGCTACCTGCCCTAAGGGTGTGTAACCTGGATAGAATATAAGGGACAGAGAGGGGGCTGCTGTGGCCACTTGCTGCTTGCTGCTTTTGCTGCTTTCTGCCTGCCATGGACTGTTTCTCCTCTGCCGTACCCCTCTGCCATGCCACCCTGCCTGCAGTCAGCTGACTATGGACTGAAACCTCTACAAACTGTGAGCCAGACATAGCATGTGCAGTGTGAAGACCAGGCCAGGAAGCTCAGAGTGGAGCTGTGGGGGCTGTGCAGATGCCCAGTCAATTGATGACTTTCCAGTCCTGTACTGTCCGGTGTGGCAATCCATAGCCTCATGTGGCTATTTCATTTTAAACTTAAATAAAATCAACGATTCAGTTCCACAGGTTGGTATAGCCTCATATAGCTAGGCAACTGAAGGAGTTAAAAATAAGCCACTCTGGCACATTGACTATTTTGAGTTATAGGCACTTGAAAAACAGCAGGTGCAAGAAGATTACTCTGATCTTCTTTCTATTTCTTAAAAACAGAGGGTGAAATTATGAAGTGAGAGACACCCTCCCTGTATCCAGCAGCCTTGTTCTTATGGCCAAGGGCAGGACACCACGGCTGAGGGAAATCTGCATAGACACACTCCATTAGACAAATCTTTCTTGTCCTGGACACCTCTCCATCCAGTTAACTGCCCTAGTTCATCCTTTCCCTGTCACATTTTTGTAACTTCCTGCTCGGTTTGTGTCTTTGGGTCTTGTCTTCATTTCCTCATGAGGGTTCCTGCCATGCAAAACTTGGGTGACATAAGTTTGTATACTTTTCTCCTCTTGATTCACCTTAAGTCAGTTTAATTCTCAGACTCAGGTGAGAAACACTGAGAGAGTAGAGGTAAGATTTTGCCTCCCCCCTCACAGTCATATGAGCACAGAGAACATCTCTACCACTGTAGAATGTTCTAGAAACAACTTCAGTCTAGACCCTAGAGCCTTTCTAGTCAAAGTGATGTTCACAAACCAGCAGCATTGATAGCATCTTGGAGTTGTTGAAATGTGGAGCCCCAAACCCTTTGCCCACTTCCTCTGTATTATAATCTTGAACCAGATCTCAGGGATGTCAGAATTTGAAAGGCTGTGACATGTAAGACCAGGAACCGGGTAGGTTCTATAGAGCTGAGTGGGCAGGGAATGGATACAAGTCTTCAGCTGCAGGGACGAGAAACCCCTAAGCCCACAGGTATCGGCTGTTCTTTGGGCCTGGAGAAGGCAGGTAAAAGAGCAGGCCTCAGCCAACCATGGCTGCCATCTCTCTCCCAGTCTTCCCTGGCAGCAGACACCTTTCTGGCACAACTTGTCAGGTGCTGTAGGTTAGAAAGTTCTGCCAAAGTCTTACATTCTTTTTCCTGGTCTAACCCCTGCAACACAGTCTGCTTTAATCTGCTTCTCCCTGTGTGCAAATGTTTGAACGCAGCTTCTCTGCTCCTCCAGCCATGCTCCTCTGCAGATGAAGGAGACCAGCTCAGGCTCGTCTGCATCCAGGACATTTTCCTTGGATGCTGTCATTCTGGAAAGCCAGAAGGCAAGTCCCTTGGGGAGAGGTGGGCATGGGTGCAGTGGAAAGCTGGAGAGTCTGGAATATTGAGCCCCTCCCCAGAATAGATGCCACCAGGATCTTGCTGGCATTGTCCCCTCCAGTCTAGTTCATGAGAAACAAGTGTTTCGCCACCTTGAAATATGGAGAACCCCTGTTGTTAGGGCCTCACATCCAGTCGGCTCTGGTCTGCTGCCCTTGCTGTAGGGTGGAGTGCAATGGGGACATACCCTGCTCGGGCGCTAGATCAACATCCTTCCCTTTACTCACCAGTTCTGATTTCAGATCCTTCATGGATGCCTTGAAATGTGAGAGTTTTAGAACTTTGTTTTTTTGACTATCCCTCACTCCTTCTATCCTAGCCCCTGTCAATGGCAAGCCCAAGTTCATTTTCATTTTTAAAAATTAAAACACTTTTTAATACATTTTTATTTTTATTAATCCATGTTTGCAGCACATGATGATTACATTCACCAGAAGGAGTCGGTGTGTGTACATAACACATCTTAATTATTGTTTCAGCCCCTACCCTTCCTCTCTCTCCCTGCTCCTTCTGTATCTTGGGCTCCTTCCCATTTGCAGAAACTCTGTCTCCATTTTTTTCCTCCCAATTTTTTTTTTTTTGGTACCGGGGATCGAACTTGGGACCTTGCGCTTTTGAGGCAGGCGCCGGGACCACTGAGCTAATTCTTTTTCTTTTCATCTCCTTACCCTCCCCTACCTCTTGCCTCCCTCCATCTTTTGTTCCCTTGCCATTTGAAAAAAATCACCCCACTTCCTATTTATTTTACTTTGCTTTGTATTCCAAGATCATGTCCACTATAGTTGACCGGCTGGAGGCTTGATTATTTACTTACTTTGGTTGGGGGTAGAGGGAAAGGTTAGGTTGTTTATGTTTGAAGGCCAGCACACCTGTTGGAGATTAGACAAGAAACTGAAGGTCTTCCTTAACTTGGCCTTCACTACAACTCTAAAAGTGCTGAGCTAAAATAGCCTTCGAGGTTCTGATTCTTGCAGAAGTTGAGTGTTGGGTCCTGTTACCAAGCAGGGGCATGGAGGCATCACACCAGGGGCCATGCAAGGTGCTCTGTCCATTTGCCTCATATTTTATGGCAGATATAAGAAGAACATTGTAAACAGCTACATTTTTCAGTCACTTACCAAGTGTGGTTAGTTGTTGTAGGATAAAGTGCATGCTCTCAGGTACCTGCTGGAGAGGACCGGAAGAGGCTCTGCCATGGCGCCCACCTGGAAGCCCTTATAACCTGACTTGGGAGGCAAAATGTACTCCTGTTCAAACCCCAAGGTTGAAAGCCACGTGTGGTGGTTCATGCCTGTGATCCCAGCACTCGGGAGACTGAAGTAGGGAGATTGCTGCAAGTTCAAGGCCAGCCTGGACGACATAGCAAGACCTTGTGTCAAAAAGCTCCCCCTAAAAAACTCGATGGCTGAAATCAGACTATGTAAGATACAACTGTCAAGGTTTCTTAAAGGCCTACCCTGATGATGTCTTCACTTTTTTTTTTTTTTTTTAATTAGAGCAACAACCAGCCAGGTTCCAACATTGACTCTTCCTACCTGGAGTCTTTCTTTCAGAAGTGTCCCAGGGGAGTTGTGCCATTTCAGGCAGGTACTAGGAACTACGAGCTGAGTTTCCAAGGTGAGTCTTGTGAGCAGTGTTTGTCAGTGTCATGTGTCACTGGAATATAGCGCCCAGGTGAGGGCTCATTTAGCAGGGTGAGCAGTCGTGGCTGTCAGGCCTGTGTTCAGAGCCCCGGCTCTGACAGATATTGCTGTACCCCTGGGGAAGGACGCCTGTCCTGTCCTGCCCCAGCTCCCTCACCTGGAAAAGCAGAGGATGACCGGAAGTAGCTCCGGGGGCTACTTCCACTCTCGTGGCTTAAGCTGATTCTCCAGGAGGCAGCTGACTTTTCAGGCGCTGGAGAATGCAGTGGAGGTCATGAGGCTTTGGGTACCTTCAGAGCTTTAAAAACTTGCTCTTCCTTTTAGGCTTCCTCATCTAGGCCAATAGTTTTATCCATCACATTGACTATAGCACTTTGCCTTCTGCAGTATTAATTTGAAGCAGTTGAGAAAGATCTTCTGCTTAGCTTCCACTGACTTCTCTGCTGTGTTTAGTAGCAAAGCAGAGCAGGAGCTGCCCTCCCTCTGAAAGTGCTGTCCCATAGGCACAATCCTGGGACATTCCATGCCTGGGGTCAGGGACTCCAGGACTCCAGGACTGGTCAGGGTGGGTGTTTTGGCAGAAGTGAGACTTTTCTCAGGCCCTGTGTGTCCCACATGGTACCTGAAATTTAAATCCTGTACCACTTTGTGTTCAGTACTGTAGCTTTTTTTTTTTTTGTGGTGGTGGTGGTGGTGGTACTGGGGATTGAACCCAGGATTTCTTCACTGAGCTACATCCCCAGCCCTTTTAAAATTTTTTACTTTGAGAGAAGGTCTCACTAAATCACTAAATTTCCCAGGCTGGGCTCACACTTGTAATCCTCCTGCCTCAGCCTCCCAGGGTGCTGAGAGGTAATGTAGCTTTCTTTTGGTGGTGCTGGGGCTCAAACCCAGAGAGTAATGTAGCTTTTAAGGACCATTATACCAACTCTTTTGGAAGGTAACTTGGCAAAACAATCTGATGAAGTACCCAGAGAATGGAGGAGACGGTGGAGAGCACCCATGTTGATGGGAGGAGGATTTGGGATGGGCAGCAGCCTGGGCCCATGGGGAGGGCTGGCAGAGTCCCGGCTGTTGGTGTAGAGAAGCTTGGTGTTTCACGGAGCAGAGAGATCTGCAAGCAGAGATAGAAACCTGGGTTTTTGTTTTGTTTTGTTTTAACACAGAAGGCATGGAGAGATTTGCTGTCCTGTTTGTTTTGTTACGAATCACCTTCAGTGAGGCTTAAGTGTTACAGTGAAATGCATCCATTTCAAGTGTGTCGCTGGTTGAGTATTGGCAGATGCATGTCACCACCCTAATCTAGATGTAGAACATTTCTATCAATGCAAAATGTTTCCTCCTGCCTCTCTACAAGTGGTTTCTGCTCTACCCCTGCCCTCATCCTCTACTTCTGGGACAAGCTATGGCTGATTTGCTTTACGTCCTCTAAATCACTTTTGCCTTTTCTAGAACTTCATATAAATAGACTCTTACAGTGTGTATTCTGCACTAGCTGGCGTCTTTCACTCAGAATAATGGTTTTCCGATTCATCTATGTTGTGGCATGTGTAACAGTTTTTGTTGCTGAGTAATATTCCATATAAAGATATATTATCATTTTCATATCTATTCATCAGTTGATGGGCATTTAGGTACTTTTTGGTTATTAGAATAAAGTAGCTGTGAACATTCTTCTGAAGTCTCTGTGTAGATATAGGTTTTCATTAATCTTTAAATACCCAGGAGTGGCACTGCTGGATCATATAGTAGCACATTTAACTTTATACGACAATACCAAACTATTTTCCAGAGTGGTTGTGACATTTTATGCTCTTACTAGCAATGCAAAATAACAGGGTTTCGCTATGCAGTTCAGGCTGGCTTTGAATTCAATACGTGGCCCAGGGTGGCCTTGAACTCGCAGCCATCCTCCTGCCTCAGCCTCCTGAGTGCTGGGATTACAAGTATGTGTCATTGTGCCCAGCGTGATTTACTTCTTAAAAGGATCATTGGCACAGTTTGGATTCAGGCCAACAACATGCATGAATTGGAAATGACATTTCATACTTGATGTCCAAACATTTGGCTAACACGTGCCAACCCATAATCACTACTTTCTGGTTTGGGGCCATCTGCATGCATGATGTCTGATTATCCGGTATCCCAGTTCTCCTCTTTTACTGTCCAACTTTGATTTCAACATTGGGTTTATTCTTCAATGTTCATTTGCTACTTTGCCTTCTGAATCTTTGAATCAGCAGTGGGGATTATACATGTCTTATCATGAGCAGTTTTCATCCAAACTCACACACTACAACTCAGTCATAAACATTTGCAGAACAAATAGCCTCTGAAACATGAGTCATTTTCTAGAATGATTCTTGATTCTTGTTTGTTTTATTTTTTGTGTAAAGGGATGATTCAGACAAACATAGCTTCCAAGACTCAGAAGAATGTTGTCCGAAGGCCAGAATTTGTTTCTGCGCGGGATGTGGAGCAGATGAGAAGGGGGCCAGAGTAAGTGTTCTGCAGCCCTGATAGCTGCAGAGGTCCGAGATGTTCGTGTCCTTATCTCATCGCGTCATTCTTACTTCTGGATCCGGTGTTCTTGAGAAGTTCCTGCTTGCGTGGCACTGCAGTTTCCTTTTGCATTATCTTTGAATGAGATGGCTGTTAAGCAGGGTTCTGTGGCTGACCGGGGCAGGGGCGTGTGTGGGCTGTAGCTCAGAAGTGGTGCGCTGCCTAGCATGCATGAGGCCCTGGGTTTCCATCCCCAGCACTGGAAAACACAGGCCACACATACATGTCAGGCCATGTGTGTGCCTCTGACTCACGGGGTATTTTATATCCATCTCTTAAATACTCTAGGCCTTAGCTTCTCCAGCTGTGGATGGCTGGATTAAGGGGGAATGCCTAAGAAATCATCAAATGCACTAGAATTTTTGTTTTGCTTTGGATCCTTTCTTGTGTCTTTGGTTGTGTATGATTTATAGTGAATGAAATGAGAGAGAGAGAGAGAGAGAGAGACAGACAAGGATGAGGTAGCTGCCTGAATAAAGGTTTTGGAGAGACATCAAACTGATTAAAGGGTTTTGTTTTTTGTGGGGTTTTTTTGGATACCGGGGATTGAACTCTCGGGACCTTGCGCTTGCAAGGCAGGTGGTGGAACCACTGAACTAAATCCCCAGCCCCATTTTGTTTTGTTTTGAGATAGGGTCTCACTATATAGTTCAGGCTGGCCTCAAATTCACTATGTAGTCCAGGGTGGCCTTAAACTCATGGCAATCCTCCTGCCTCAGTCTCCTGAGTGTTGGGATTACAGGCATGCATCACTAGCCTGGCTTAAAGGAGTTTTTAAAGTTTTATTTTATTTTTAATTGACTTAGTTGTACCAATTTATGGTAAAGGGGAATTTAAAAGGAAATTTTGCTATGGGAGATTCACTGTAACTTTGCCTGTTTCCAAAACTTTTAATAAAAATCTACATTGTACATAAACATTTTTGGGGTTGGATTTTTTTTTTTTTCTTCAAGTGATATGTGATTATGAAAACAGAAACTGGTAACCAATTGTTGAATGTCACATTCTGACTAGTTTAGGAGTGGGTGGAACTAGTCTGTTCACATCATTCAGTATATTACTATGCAAATAAGGACCTGATAGCTGAGCTACAGGATAAATTTTTAAATTGAAAGCATAATAAGTCTTCGCATCTACAAGGGCATACATTTTTATGCCATATTTTGGCCCATCACTTTTCCATAAGTGTTTTACATCCCTGCAATTACCATGAGAAATTGCAGCTAAGTACAAGAGACTTATATGAATGCTTTCAGTTCATCTAGTGACGTGTCATAATAAATACATTTTTTAATATGGCTATTGGTGCATACAGAACGTTTTACTTGTATTGCAGCTTTTGTGTATTTCACAGCATCTTGTAGCATTTCGTCTGTTACAGTTTCCAACATTGAATGAGAGTGCTGGCATTATCCAATATGTTTCACCCCTACCAAGACCCTCACTATATTTTGGGACCTAGTTCTAATATTGGATTGTTCCATTTGGGTGTGCGACCATTTTGCAACATTTCAACTAGTCAAACATGTACTCTTCTGTTTTCTTCATCATATGAACCAAGGAGGTCTGCATTCCCAGAGTTGATTCTTGCTCCATTTCACTGTCACAGGAACTTAGGATACATGGCCAACATCAAAGTCATCATCATCATCATTATCATCATCATTATCATCATCATCATCCTACATTCACACCACTCTTCTGTTATAAAAGCATGTATTTTACTATAGGATCATCATCATCATCCATGCATGAGTAATCTGATGATTCACTTTCAGCATCCTCCAAAACTTGCAAATGTGGTTTTTCATGTGCCATTGTACTGAATTGGGGTACTTCTATCAGAAAAATCAAAAGAAAAGTTTTTGAAAAACAAATCCTAGAGAGGTGTGGATGTATTATACCCTCTGTGAGGCTCAGGTAAACATACACAAAGCCTGTTAGGCAGAGCATAATGTTTGTGTAAATCCCAGTTTGACACTTTTGCACAGGTGCACACCTAACTTTGCCTTTTGTCGTGCCAAGTGGGTAAACACAAAGATTGCTTCTTGTATCCCTCAGGCAAAGGTACTGAGATGCGCAGCCGGCCACTATTACACTAAAGTAAAAATTTTCAGTAGAAATGCAAAAGATGGGTCTATGGAACCCAGTGTTATGCTCTGTTGGTTAATGGCAATGTGTCTTTCACTATAATGAATAATTTTAATTTAAGCATATATATTTTGGTCACACCTGGTGCATGAAGCTTGCATACTGATGGCTAAGACAGTGTATAAGTCATGCACTGCCTCACGTTCTGGTCAATACTGACCACATAAATGGCAATGGTGCTGTAGAATTGTGCTGCCTGGGGACATTGTAGCAGGCTAAGTGTGTGTGAATACATTATACCCTATGATGACTGCAAATAATGAGATCACCTATTTATAGTTTCTCAGTTTGTATCCCTGTGGTTAAGCAAAACATGACTTTACTTCAGTTCCTGACAAGTGTTGGGGGGCAGAGTAAAGAGGCCTGGTACTAATGGGATTGTAGCAGCTGCTTCTTACTCACTACAGTGGCTCTTACAAGATGTCTTGGCAAAATTTTTCCATAAATTATGTTTCCGTAAGGCAACACACTTTATATTTTTTAAAAGGCTGATAATTTTGGTTTTTTAACAGTTCACGTATACCCATGTAATCTCAACTAGGAAGGCCGTACTTTCACCTTTTTGGACAGCAGAAACTAGAAGGGTTGTTGCCTTTCTTGTCTCCATCCTGGGTGTTTCTTTTGGTACCCATTTATTTAGAGGAGAAGAAATTGGTTTGGAGTACTTCCAAATATGTCCTATAGTTCATCCATTCCCTGTCTTGGTCATTTACATATGTCACAGCTGCCCAGGATTGTCTCTACCCTCCAGGAACATTCCTCCCCATTCTTATGAACCCAGCATCTTTTATGACCCAGCTCTGATGCCACTTTACCTTACTCGTGACTGTCCTTTGACTTCTTTGCCCTCTAGTGAGACGGAATTCCCTTGGTTCACTTACCCTATTCTGGTAGCTTAGAGTGCATTCGTGTGCTACATATTGATGTTCCGGGAATCCCATCAGCTAGGTGTGTAGTACACTATACACCTAGGCTTGTGTAAGTCTAGTCTTCACAAGCTTCACACAACCAACTCACCTAACAATGCATTTCTCAGAATGTATCCCATCCTTCACTGATGCATGTCTGCAGTAGTCATGTAAATGTCACTTCTAGCAAAACCCTTCCTATCTTCTCCTGCACCCAGTTACAGCTTCTCAAAGCTCTTGAAGTCATTTGTATCATGTGTGGCATAGAGTGACATGAAATAGAAAGCTGTGGAGGAAAATGAATTGAGAAACAGTGTCCATGAGGGTCATGCAGGGAATAAGCTTTCATGGTGCTGCTTCCAGCCTAGAGGAGACATAGCTGCTGGTTGTTTCTTTTTAAAAAAATTTTATTAGTCCATGTTTGCAGTACATAGTGCTCACATTCCTCATGCAACGTTGGTCCATGTATGTAAGGGATCTTAATTATTTTTACATATCCTTCCACTTCCCTTCCTTCAACTCTTGGACCTCTTCCCATTTGCAAAAGATCTGTCTCTCTAGTTCCTACTATCTACTGTTTATTTTGCTCTTTGATTTATTTATGCTTTGAGTTTCTCATGAAAGAAAAACCATGCAGTAATTAAGCTTGTGTGTCTGATTTATTTCACTCAACATTATGGTCTCAAGGGAAATCCAAGTATAAAAATACAGATAAATCAAGGCCAATCTTTCTCATTCCAAAAGAGTCTTCATTTTACACAAGGGGAATCTTTTTTTTTTTTTTTTTTGACCAGGGATCAAACTCAGGACCTTGCACTTGAGAGGCAGGTGGCGGAACCACTGAGCTAAATCCCTGGCCCCACAAGGGAAATCTTTAAACAATTTGTTCCTGAAGGCATTTATTTTTTTAATGGAATTGCTTTGATCATGGTAAATTTCAACATCAGCAACAGTAGAGAGGATTGTATGATAAACTGTTATGTAGCTAACATCTGACTTCAACAACTCATTATTTTACCATCTTGTTTCATCTTTTCTATCAACTCTTAATTTTTTCCTTTGCTGCAATATTTTTGTGTATTCCACATGTGTGTAATTTCCCTGTAAAAATTTTAGGTGTCTTGAACAGATAAGGAGTGTAAAAAATGTTATACAATACCCTTAACCCAGCTAAGAAAAGTGACAGTAATTCCTTCATATCCTTTTACACCATTTGTGCCCTGTTTTTTTGTATTTTTGTTTTTTTTCATACCGGGGATCGAACTCGGGTCCTTGCACTTGTGCAGCTGTGCCCTGTTTTTTAAATTGTCTTATAAATGACTTTTCAGAGTTGATCTCTTCTAGTCAGTATCCAAATAGGGTCTGTGCATTGCATTTGATTTGTCTCTTCAGCTTTTAATGTATTAGTTTTGTTCCTCCACTTTTTTTCATGATTTATTATTTTTTTAAAGAAACCAAGTGATTTAATCTATAGAATTTCCCAATTTCAAAATGTAACTAACTTTGGTCAAGAATACTTTGTAAGGGGTATACTTTGGGTCACATCTTCTTAAGGAGGTACAGAAGATCCAGTTGTCCTAGTGTTACATCTAATGTCATTTAGTGGTCACAGTATTTATTGATGATCACTGTTTAGGTTCAGTACCTTACTAAGTGTTACAAAATGGTGGTTTTCTAATTCTCTAGATTCTGTTACAATTATTAGCTGTGAGTCATCTAAAAAGAATTTTTCCTCGTGTATGAAATATAGTTCATACCATACAGGAAAAGACAGTTTCTTCCCCCCATATCACCACTATACTCAAATGTCTTATTATTCCACAAAGCAGCTGTAAAGCATGCTTGCTCCATGATAACAGATTAGAACCTCTGAAAGTTGAGCAGAAAGATAAAGCATCAGTGCTATGAGTTACTGGATTTTTTTAAAAGCGTGATTACTGGTACATCAATACCACAAATATGCAAGGATGTGATTCTGAGAAAAATACAGAAATAAGTGCTGGATTTTTCTAGGAGGAGACCTTGTCTTCCTGGCTGGAAGTCAAGGATGGAAAGTTACTTGGGCAGATGCAACAGGGCGCAAGTGAAATGTTGTTCTCTTGGTCTACAGTCCTCAGCGGGTGCAGTTCTCTGCTTCCAGTCCTCAGCCTGTGCACACCCCACCAGAGGCTGTTGGCTCAACATTTGTTCCTCAGTGGGATGTCCTCTCTCCCACTTCAAGTGGATACAAGGTACTTGGTTTTTACTTGACTAGTGGGTGAATTCTTTAAGTCTAGGAAAAGTACATTGATAGAAATATTCCTGTTTCTTTATTGGAATGAATGAATTGCTTCTGTACAACTCTAGGATTGGGATTCAAAGGCAGTGAAAATATGGTTTGCCTTGGGGTTTAGCTGCACCTGGCCACACATGGGCAGATCCTCAGGACAACCCTGAGAGATAGATGGCCGAACCTCTATTTTCATGAGTGAGAGTAAAAGTGACTTGGCTCAATGTGCTCCCTTTGTGCCCTGCCCTGGATGGGGCAAGACCATTCCTAGGTCATTTTGCCTCTTCATCTTGCTCCAGTTTCTGTGCAGGCCAGTCTGCTTAGACTCCATGGGGACATCCAGTTCCTCTGCCACTGCACTGGTTTTGGAATTTTAGGCAAGAAGCTTGTCATACTGTACTGATAATGCAGGGGCCCTCCCTTTGCATAATGCTTTGTTAGCTTTGAGTCAGCCTAAATGGACAGGCCCACTGCCTGTTGGATTCATTACTGGAATGAATGGCCAGATGTGGACAGATGTAAGCCCGACCCTCCCACCTGCTGTCTGAGAACTGGCAGTGATACTCATGGCATAGGAGGCTATACATGTGGGCACAGCACACTTTCAGTGTTTCTCACTTCTCAATTATATATTTTTAAACTTTCTTAGTTGCTAGATCTCGATAACCAGTCTTTGGAATATGCCACCATAAGGGATAATTTCAAAGAGTCCATGAAAAATTTCAAGATCGAAAAGATAAAGAAGATCCATAATCCAGAGCTCTTGAATTCTTTTGAAAGGTTGGTGACCACATTATATGATTCCCTTACATAATATTTGGAAGGATTAGTTCCTATCTGTTCTAAGAGTTTTTTTAAAATTTCAATGATTCTGTGTCTACCACTGAAATGTTTTCATAAATGTATTACTTTACAGTTGTGGTTTCAAAATGGTTTTCCATTTTGAAAGTGGATGGGAGAAAATTTTAAGATGATTGTACTTCAGTTGGGACTAGTGTCATCAACTAGCATGGGAGAGGAATGTTCTTGGTGTTAATATTCTTGGTCTCACGTTTCCTCTATTAGGAGGCGACTGAACATGACAGAGAAAAGGGAAAGACTCCTATTTTATGCAACAAGCCGCACCCACGTGGATTCTATCTGTGCAAATAATTTTATGTGGAACTTACATGGAACTCACGAAAACAAATATGGAAAAGGTTTGTACTTGCTTCATTAAGAGTGTATGTAATTATCTTGTATTAACCAGCACATCCAGGATTGAGTAGTCATGGAGAGAAAATAAGGTCAAAGTAACATATTTATGTCAAATTACCCAAATTAGAATGGCACGGTTGACTTGGGGCTCAAGAGCTGGGCCTTAGCGTTGCTCCTATCTTTTGCTTGCAAACTGTTCCATCTGTGGGCGACGTTGCCTGCCATTGCTATTCACTGGCAATGCTCTGCCTGATCCTAATCCATGCTGTTGGAGGTCTCTCCCCATCTCAGCCACACTGGGTCACCTGGAACTTGGAGTCTCCCAAGTCTGCCCACATACAAAATCTTTACACCTATTTCTTTTTTTTTTGGTATTGGGGATCGGACTTGTGACCTTGCGCTTTCAAGGCAGGCGTGGGAACCACTGAGCTAAATCCCCGGCCCTGCCTGTTTCTTTTTGTTCTTAAACACCTACATGTAACCCAACTCCCCCCCCGCCACCCCCGGTACCAGGGATTGAACTCAGGACCTTGTGCTTGCAAGGCAGCTGTGGCACCACTGAGCTACTAAATCCCTGGCCCCTTGAATGCAACTCTTAACAAAACAAGCAAATAAACAAAAATGCAAGAAAGAATTGTTCATATTTAGGGGGTAAATAATAGCTTAGTGGGTCCAACTCATAAGTAAGATTAAATGTACAAGCAATCTCTTTTTTTTTGGGTTCCGGGAATCGAACTCGGGACCTTGTGCTTCGAGGTAGGAGGCAGCACCACTGAGCTAAATCCTCAGCCCCCCAAGCAATCTCAAAAAGCAAGAAATTAGTCATTCAGCTAACATTGTGAGTGCCTTCTGTACACCAGATGCTGGGCACACAGTGGTGAACAAGTTAAACATGGGCTCAAACAAATAATTTTCCATAATTAATTAAATTATGCAAATGTACAGCTGCTGTAGAGGAATAGGGCAGCTGTAACCCAGATCCAGAGATGGTCCCAAGAAAGGGATATGGGAGGATTCACCTGCCTCATAGGGTCAGTGTATAGACAGGAACAAGCCCTGCGAGAGATGGCCATGCAGTAAAGAGTTCAGGCTTGACCAAGGACAAGGGAAGTTAATGAAAGGTTTTGTGCTGCAGAATGATGTGGTGAGAATTTCATAAGTTTATTAAGTTTAAATGCATTACTGAAACTTATCAGATATGTTTGGAGGCTATGGGGTAACTATCTTAAGTGACACATGACACGTGAAATTTAAACTGGTCAGTTTCTCATGTGTAGAACTGTTCATATAGTACAATATTTTCGTGAACAAATAAATTAACATAATATGATTCTGGAGTACACATGCATATTTATGTATGTGAATGTATACAAACAGTTGGAAAAAATTTCTACCTAGCTGTTAACTGTCTGGGGAAAAGGAATGGGGCTAGACATGATAGTTCAGCTAGTGTGTTATTCAGGTTTGCATTTACAATGACCAGGGAACTATCTTAACAAGACATGGGTTATTCAGTTGGTGGTTTTTGAAGTTCGAAAGTATGGCCCCTGCATCGGCTTCATTCTGGTGAGAACAGAGGGCGGTGCCAAAACAATCCTGTCTCTACCTGCAGCACAGGCTGGGGGAATGGGGGATGTCACAGTCCCCTTCAAGGTCCCATCTCCACCCCCCGGGACCTAAGAGGCTCCCTGTAGGCTCCATCTCCTGGATGCCACCACCTCCCAATTGTGCCACTCCAGGAACCAAGCCTTAAGAGTTTAAACCCATCAGGGACATTCAACATTCAAATCGTAGCTTTCTTGTTTTTCATTTCAATACAGTACAAAATCATTCACCCAGAATACCCAGTATCTGATCTATTCACAATAAGCCATGTTTCTGGAGTTTAAACATCTATTAAAAAGACGATAACGAACATAATAAATGGAAATGTATTAAGCATTTGTTATTACAAAGAAAAATAATTCATCTTACATAGAAATCAGAATTTGCATTTCCTTTAAAATGGCAGAAAAGCATTTGGCAGTGAGAAAAGTATAAATAGGAGACTTTCATATGCCAAGAACTTGTGTATCTGCCAACTCTGGAAAGCTCCATGGTTATCTGGGGTGTTTTGAAGTTAAAGGATTGTGCATCAGCTGTCTTTGGAAAGCTTGGTTAGGGTCAGTTCCTTGCCCATCTTTCCCCTTGACATTTTCCAGGATCTTCCTATCAGTAGTAAATGGCCTTTGTGCCTTAAAATGTATGCATTGTGACTTGGCCTTTCCTGTGGAACATCTTTGGCTCATCAGTTCCAACTCAACTCATTCAACTTCTTCTGCCCAAGTTGCCCAGATTGTGCTGCTGTGCTGTCACTGCATGATCAGTGTACCCAGTGGCTTGCTTTGTGTCCCTGCCATTTCCATGGGCTTGTCTGCATTATTTAAGTGTACTTCTGGATACATTTTTAAATATTTTAAAAATTTAAAATTTTTTTAGGGTTAGGGTTGATTGAACTCAAGACCTTGCGCTTGCAAGACAGGCGCAACGCCACTGAGCTAAATCCCGTGCCCGGTACATTTTTTTAAAGGAGATTTATAAATGTCAGTATTGTTGACATATGCTTAGTCTCTGTTGTCTGAGTCTCTGTAAGTAATCTTATAAACCATAATAATTCTTTTATAACAATTCTCAAGCTTTTTCTTTTTCTGATTATTTCTAGGAAATCACTTCTCAAAGGATGCCATCTATTCCCACAAAAATTGCCTATATGATGCCAGAAACATCGTTATGTTCGTAGCCCGAGTCTTGGCAGGAGATTTTATTGAGGGAAATATGACGTTCGTGAGCCCTCCTCCGCCGTACAACAGCTGTGTGGATACAATGCTCAATCCCTCTGTTTTTGTCATCTTCCGCAATGATCAGGTTTACCCAGCATACTTGATTGAATATAGTGAGCCAGACAGAGAGAAGGCCTGTGTGATTAGCTAGAGAGGATAAAGGCGGCATCATCTGGGATGCCATAACCATTCTGCTCACATAGAGGACCAAATCGCCCTAGATAATGGTTAGACTTTTCTATTTTCTCTCTAAGTTACCTAGTGTCTTAAATCAATAATTCTCAAACTTTGCTGTACAACAATTCCAATGCTGCAGTTGTACACCTTCCTAGTTAAATCACTCCTTGGGTGAAAGCCAAGCAGTAGTATTTTTTAAAAGCTCTCTTAATGACTTCAGTGTGTTGGAATGTTTGCACTGTCTTGGCTGTAACTGATCGAGGCCGGTTTCTAAATTTTGCATACTTATGCTAACCATTTTCTCTCATTTACTCTTTGAGTTTACTGAGTAAAATGGTTTTGTTTAAGTTCAATTTAAAAAAAATCAATTTGGAAAGTTTGAGAGTAAACTAATAATGCCTATTGAAATGGGAACAAGAGGTGGTCCCGCCTTGGGTGGGAAATTGTGAAAAGCTGGGGAAAAAGTGTGTAGGCACACGCTAAGCTGAAAAGTCGAAAGGCTGACTGTCAATGCTGTTGTAGCCATCACTTCAGCACTGTATCTCACCATGCGAAGAGGTCGATTTGGGAGCTCATCTCTATTTCCACACTTCTTTACGAGACAGACTCCAAAGGGTTGGCTCTTTTTGTATTGCAGTCATAAGAGCCACCAAGTATGACTCAGGCCACCAACTGGAGTTAATTGTGCATTTGGGTTCTTTAGATAATTATGGCAAAATAGACATTTATATTCTAATTAATCTAATGACAGAGAAAGCTTTTTTTTTCTTCTAGGTCAGGGTTTCAGGAAAGTGTCTGTGTTTTAGGAGAAATGAGTTGTAGTAGCCAGAATCATATAAGCATAAATTCAAGTGCTATAGTGGTCGTTTGCATGGTAGATGAGGCTTGCTAAGAAATTAGCGGCAAGGCTGTCTCTACAGGAGGATGGGCCTCCTATGGAGGAGAGATTTGCTTTCCGGTGAGCACAGAATCAGAACAAAGGGAACAGTGTCCCAAATAGGCCTCGTGCCTGCCAGGGACTTATTTGTGTAAATACAATGGACTTTGTGGAATTGTCATAGTTTTTAAAGCTACTATAGTGCCTGAACCAATATTTCCTTCCTTATTGTGAATTAGGTTTTTCCTTCCAGTTTTCCTCTTTCTACCTTCCAAACTATTGCCAAAATTTCCTACTAGAGTTCCTTCTAGTAGACATGTTACAAATAATTAATTGGCATTACAGTTGATTTTATATTAGTCAGATTTTAGGTCAGTACAAAAAGCTTCACAGTTCTCCATCAGTAACAAATGTAGACTTTTTTTTTTTTTTTTGGTACCGGTGATTGAACTCGGGTCCTTGTGCATGCAAGGCAGGCAGTGGAACTACTGAGCTAAATCCCCGGCCCTAAATGTAGACTTTTTAAAAAAGAGTATAGTTATTTTCTGGGAGCTTACCACAAATGATTCTTCTTATTCATTTTTTTTCTCCTAGTAGTTTCCATTTTTTGTCTTTGATCCTTGCACTGTAGAGGTATAATGTACACAGCTGTTTCTGGCTGACCAGGAGGCACCTCTAGTTGGATATTTCCCAGGCATCTGTGGTCCAAAATGGAGATCTCTATTTGCCTCCCTCAAAGGAACCCATCCTCCCCTGAGTAAATACTATCCCTGGATCCATTCTGCTCAAGCAGAACTGCAGAGTCACCCTTACTTCTTGCTTTCCTCTTCATATACATTTAAGTTGCTCCCAAGTCCAGTTTTGCTTCTTACATATCTTTTTGTCCCCTTCTAATCTGTTTTCCACTTAATGGCAGTTTATAATTTTACTTAATGGGGTTGTGAACCCAACCCAAGATCACATCTTTTGGATAAAGTTCAAAACCATGATCATAGCCCCAAAATGATCTTTCCCTTCCCGACCCCTCTGTCATTTATTTTCTTCTGCACAATGCACTCTTAACTTCCTGGCATTTCTTGGTACCCTTCCTACCTACCTAGTTCAGTGGTTCTCAGGGTGTCTGCCTTTTAAAAAAATAACAAATACTTTGCAAGATATACTTTATTATCCTCAAAATGCAATTGAAAGGTAATATGCTTTACCTACACATGATTCTAAGAGTAAATTAAAAATTAAAACAAACTAATATTAACATAAAAGGGAAATAAAAGGTACATAACTTGGGCACAATATTACAGTACTATTAAGCATGAAGAAGCCATATGCTTATACCTACTTATGATGAATGTGAACTTGAAAGTAGATCAGAAGTTATTATTTAAAGAAGCATAGGAAAATGAATAAAACGGGGGAATGAGTGGACATTAGAAGATAGACTAGTGATACAACCACTTACTTGCATATGATGATAATGTGTATATAGGAGAAAGAACGAAATAACCTTCATGGAAATACAGATATTATGTAAGAAAATGTCGAAACAAAATTAGGGAATATATTCTTGCAGACGAGCTGTGTGTCTTACATGAATGTCAGGTGAGACATTCAAAATTCGTATAGGGCGCAGAATAATTTCTTATTGTTAGAAGCTGTCCAGTGTATTGCAGAGCATTCAGTATATCTGGCTCTCACATGCTAAATGCTAGTAGCGCCCCCGCCCTCAGCCCCAACACAGCAGCCAAAACCTTACAGGCCTAGTCATCCTTTTCAGAGCAGATATTTTGTAGTATCATCCCCTTTCTGTCCTGAGATGATTCATAGATAATATCATCTACTTACATAAAGGAATTTCTTTAAAAATTAATTGAATGCTCTAATCCTGTTGTAGTAGAGGCAAACTTTGTAATGAAAATAAAATGAAGGGCCGGGGATTTAGCTCAGTGGGTCCGGCGCCTGTCTCGAAAGCGCAAGGTTCCG